GATAGAGATTCCCACAGGCCAGGCTTTGTGCTGTGTCCAGTGCCAGCTGTAGCTGGGTGCATTCCCATCATAACTTGCTTTATTGAGTTTTTATTTTTGACAACTTCCTTTAAAATACTAAAGTGGTGACCTTTACTCTTGTACAGTGAACTGTGACTTTGGATAATTGTTGATGTTTGCTTTAAGCTATATTCAAGGTAGTGGTCTGTGGCTTACAGGAAGCTGGTTCTACTGTCTGCTTCCACAGTCTGCTTAACAAACTGTCTTATCTTTGTGAGTATAGAGACCAGGTTTACCACTTTTGATGAAGAGACCACTTAAGATTCATTCCTGATTTTCCACTGTGGGAGAATGCCCATGGAATAGGATAAAATTCCACACCCTAGTGTATGAGTTCCTCTCTTGTATGAAATGTAGCAGTTTTCGGAAGCATTGCCTTTTTTTTTTTTTTTTTTCTTCACATGAGGAATCTGTCAGCTTAGACTGACCTCTCATTCCCTTTGCACTGCGTCAAGTTTTAACAGCTCTTGAACAACAAACTTCCAGAAGATTGTATTTGGGAATTTTAGCACTCTCTTTGTTCCAGATTTTCAGCTGACTTAAAATGTCTGTGACTTTACTCCAAGGCCAGCCAGGGATATAAAAGTCTCCTTTGTTTGCTCAGTAAAAAACTAGAACATGTATTAATTTTTTAAGACCAGAAAAAAGCCTTTAAAGGTAAGCCTGAAATTCTTGTTTTTTTTTCCCCTCTTAATGCTGGCTGTATTTCAGTGGCTCTAGGTTTATACTTGGAAGCAGTGTCTACACTGGTGTTGGACTTTCCCCTTGCAGGGTTGCAGCTGAGAGCAGACTGCTGACAGTGATTGCTCTGTGTAGCGTTTGTAACTCCTTAAGCTTACTGTGATCATATGCCCTTTCAGTAGGTAGACTTTTAGAGCAGTTGAAATCTGCAGGAGTGAACCTCTGAGGGCCAAAATAGGACACATTTGGGAACAACTCTTTAACCCATGAACTAGCTGTACCATAGTTTGTGGATCCATTGCACTGATGCTGTGAAGCCTGAACCTTGTGATTCTGCCTATGTTCTTTCACCTCCCTGGCACTGTAACCAGTGGCACCTGTTGTAGCATGTGTCTGTCTGTTTGTTTAATGTTTCATGACACCCACCTTAATTTTACATGTTTTCTTGTAAATAAGCCTGCCTTCCTACCTGGAATTTTTTTTGTGTGTGAATAATACATGTTCTACCAAGTAACTACTTTGGCAGTTTTAATCATTTCTTCTACTTTGTTTTGTGTAAAAGGGGGAAAATTAAAAAAAACAAAACAAAACAAACTTTCGTTGCTGTTTGAGTTTTTGAATCTGACTAGTAAGTAACCTCCCTGTTATAGTCCTGCCCTCTGAGGTTCTCTTAAAAGGAAACACCAGGCACTGCTAGATTGAAAGGGAAACACTGAAGAGGAGGTGATCCCAAGACCAGCAGGGGAGGGACCAGCAGAGGGCAGAAGAGGCTCAGAAGAGCATGACTTTTGCTTCCAACACAGTGGTTGATAATAATCAGTAGATGACTTTTGTCTGCCTTTTAAAATTATACTTCACTGGGCAGCAGTGGCCCACGCCTTTAATCTCAGGACTCGGGAGGCAGAGCCAGGTGGATCTCTTGAGTTCAAGGCCAGCCTGGTCTACAGAGCAAAATGCAGGACAGGTACCAAAATTATACAGTGAAACCCTGTCTCAAAAAGCCAAAAAAAAAAAAAAAAAAAAAAAAAATTATACCTCAAGTTGGATGCTATAACTTGAGATTTCATTGGGAACAGGCTCCATCTTTAATCACTTCAGGATCCTTTTCTGGAGGTGTCAAGCCAAGTTTATCACAACTCCTGTGGTTGTCTGAGGCTTTGAAATTATAGCTTGTAATCTCAAGCCCACCCTTGACTACATAGGAAGATTTGCTCAAAAGGTTCAAAATAGAAGAAACCCTGGTTTAACATGCACCTGTGGCATCTGCTTAGGTCAGTTATATGTGGCCGAAACCATAGCCATCCTTTGCTACCTCTGGCCATAGTCTGAGTCCTCTTTTCAAGACTGGTCTGAGTTCCCTCATGAGGTTCTGTCATTCCAATGCTCATGTGGACACATTTGGAATGAGCTGGGCCAAGAAGAAAAGAATGGATCCTAAAAGTTTCCCCATGCCCTGTAGAGTGTGGGAACTTTGGTGTTTTTAGACAGTCCCAGGCTGGCCTTGGACTCCTGATCTTTCTACAGTGTGGTTAAACGCCAGCTGCTCATCTTTCACCAGGTTCTAGTTTGCCTCTTAACGGATCAGATGTGAGTCGGTTTCTGCAGGGCTCTTCCACTTCCCTGCTGCCTAGCACCCCGAGTTTCTTACCCATTTCTACACAAGTTCCCTCCTCTAGGCTCAGTGTGGAGCCATCCAGAAGCTGTGACTCACCAAGCCTACATAGCAAGATCCTGTGGGATCAAGTAGGGAAGTCGCCAAGGAGTCTAATTAGTATTTTAGACTATTTAACTACCATCCTCCCACCCCACTGCCCACTCCCACTTTGCTTTGAATTCCTGAAGTTTTTGTATCAGGTCCATTTAAGATGACAGTTTTCTTACCTGTGAAATGGAGACAATATCACAGATCTCAGTATTTGTTAGCAGCTAAGCTTATGGAAGTAGTTCTTTTAAGGGAAGCTGTGGCAACTTCCCAGATAACCTACATCCTCAGAGCCCTTCACATTGCCACCCTGTATGGCTGTGGCCCTGTCTTGATTTGCTCTGTCTCTGGCTACAGTCGGAATTTCCTAAGGATTGGAGCTGCACAGTTGGCACATGCTAGGCACTCAGATGTCAGTTGAGTAGTTAAAGGAGGGATACAGTATACATCGATAGTGTACATTCTGTGTCCTTCCTATGGAAAGCCCTTGAAAATGAAGAGATGGCTGAGTGGTGGCGGCGCACACCTTTAATCCTAGCACTTGGGAGGCAGAGGCAGGCGGATCTCTGTGAGTTCAAGGCCAGCCTGGGCTATAAAGTGAGGTCCAGGACAGGCTCCAAAGCTACACAGAGAAACCCTGTCTCAAAAAACCAAAAAAAAAAAATACTGGTACTGGAGAGATGGCTCAGCTCTTAAGAACACTGGCTGCTCTTCCACAGGTCTTGAGTTCAATTCCCAGCAAATATGGTAGCTCACAGCCATCTATGTTATCTGATGCCCTCTTCTAGAGGGCAGACATACATGCAGACAGAGCACTCATACACATAAAATACATAAATCTTTCCTGGGTGGTGGTGGCGGGGCACGCTGTTTATCCCAGCACTCTGTCCAGGAAGCAGAGGTAAATCTCAATGAGTTTGGGGCCAGCCTGGTCTCCAGATTTCCAGGTGAGCCATGACTACATAGAGAAACTCTGTCTTGAAGAAAACAACAACAAAAAAAACCCTGAAAATAAGAGATGTTCTAATTCTAGCCTGCTAAGCATTAAATAAAAGCAAACTGAACAGCAAGGTAAGTGTACGTGGAGCTAGTATGTCAAGGGAATTGGGAGGATGAGTTTGAGGCCAGTTTGAACTACATAGCCAGACCTGTATTCAAAATCCTAATAAACCTTGGAAAAAAACAAATGGTCTTTGTGTGGCATGAGTTATGATAGGCAATGAAGATTCCCCTGAGATGAGAGAAGGGGTGGGTGGAGCACTGAGGCAATACTCACTACACTGAACACCATTGCCACTGTGATCTCAATTCACCCTCAAAGCAACTCCAAGTGGTTGGTGGTATCATCTGTTTTCATGATGGGGAAACTGATTTGTCCATCAGCTGTGTATTGAGGGCCTACTATGTGGCAGAAGCTTCTCTACACTTTGTGCGTACAGCAATGAACAAAGCTTACTAAACCTCTGTTGGCTTGAAATTTAATGGTCCAGGCTAGCAGACAATAGATTCATTTCTGGTGTAGCCCCAGTTTCCAGGCAGGCAGGTGACCCCAGAAGGATCACTAATCTGAGGCCAGCCCGGGCTACATAGTGAAAGACTCCCTGAAGAAGAGGAGAAGAAAAAGTGGACCATGATAGTAACACCACTTGAGTCAGGATTATCATGAATCTGGGGATAGCCTGGGCCATTACTGGTGAGATCCAATTTCCAAAAGGCAAACCCAAACCAAACTAATCAAAAGAGCCAGGTGTGGTGCACGCCTTTACTCTCAGCACTAGGAGGCAGAGGCAGGCAAATCAGGCAGTTAGAAGTCACCTGGTGTCCATAGTTCCAGCACAGCCGTAGCTACCTGGTGAGTTTCATTATCTCAAAACAAAAACCCAAGAAAAAGCCGACTGTAGTGTTAATGCCAGGACCCGAAGGGCTGAGGCAGGAGGACTGCCGCAAGTTCCAGACTACCTGAACTACACCGCAAGCCCTAAAGAGTTAAGAGTTCAACCCTCCCACTCTCAAGCGCCCCGCCCTTCCCATAAGAAATCACTCACACAGTGCGAGGCTTTTATTTTGGGTGGATGGCCATGAAGTCTCGCGATAGCACTTCCGCTTCCCATAACTCCGTGCGTTCGGCCCTCCCACCCTCTTTCCGCCATCTTTCCGCGCCGGTGAGTGAGTCTTTGTGAAGCTCCGTGTTCATCCCCCGGCATCCGCGCCATCCGTCTACCCGGGGCTCGTTTGGGGAGTCCCTCGGACTCATTGAGCCCTGCCGTGGTCGCGGCTTCCTTCTGTCGGGGTCGGGGCCGCCATGGGCGGCTCTTGGCGGGAGCTGGCCCTCGGCTGCAGGCAGGGCTCCGCTCGGCCCGGGCCGGCGGGGACGGTGGCCCGCGTGGGTCCTGCAAGCTTCTGGTGTCAGCGGGCGGGCGCTCCAGAGTTCCGAGCGCCCCACGTAGCCGTGGCCCGTGTTGGCACTGGGGTTTCTGCCCAGCCACTCACTGCTAAGTTAGGGGATCAAGTCGGGGTTTGCGCTTGGCACGTGAAATATGCCTTGGCCGCGCCCCTACGAGCTGTGAAAGCAGCCCTGCCGTCCAAGGAGTCGTTTGGGCGCCCTGTCACGTAATGCTTCTGCTTCTGGGAGGCTTTTTGTCGGAAGTGTGTTAAGGGGTTACCTGAAAGTGAGTTAAGTCGTGTTAACCGCTGACACTGCTGACTTTGAAGATCTTGGCAAACGTTGCTAAAACTTTAAAACTTGCGTTCTGTTGACAGCCACCCCCTACTTACACGTTTGGCAAGGTTGTCTTCTGCGTCTTGGCTTGTGTCATTTTCTCCAGCTATTTGTGTGCTGGGTGGTATGAGCCTGAATATCTTGAATGAATAGATAATGAGTGCAGAACAGTCAGTAAATTGTCATGAGCTTAGACCAAAGAAAAGTTAATGGTGGGAGTAGGAAGATAAGCTTCATGGAGGCACGATCGGATGTCGGTGCAAGCAAATCCTGTGTTCTTTCCTCAGGCACCATGGTGCGCATGAATGTCCTGGCTGATGCTCTCAAGAGCATCAACAATGCTGAGAAGAGAGGCAAACGCCAGGTCCTCATCAGGCCCTGCTCCAAAGTCATCGTTAGGTTCCTAACTGTGATGATGAAGCATGGTGAGTATTGGTGTTTTGGATTTTTGGTAGTCGAAGGAAAAAATCCTAAAGACAACCACAGCAGAGTACTTGGTGGGTCTGTGGGAGAGAGGGTAGTACAAATGAAGCTTTTAGAGAGCCAGAGTTGGGTGAGACTGAGAAAAGTGAGCTTGTGTCTGGACTTAAATGACACAGGTCACTGCAAGCCCCAGTTGGGGAGGAAAGGTTACCCTGATGTCTGAGTCAAGTTGGCCTTGGGACTGTACCACCATGAATATTGGGAAGGGAGGGGGAAATGATTTTGCTAGGAATGGTTTTAGGTGTTAATGCCTAAATTTTTATGTGATGCAGTTTTAAGAATTCTGATACAATCAGATGTGAGGGGAAAAAATGTAGGCAAAAGGAGTGCTGAGTCCTAAAGGTTTAGGTCTCAGACTGGTGTCTTTGGTCTGATACTTACTAGTCCCTTGGTTTACAGGTTACATTGGTGAGTTTGAAATCATCGACGACCACAGAGCTGGGAAAATCGTTGTGAACCTCACAGGCAGGTTGAACAAGGTAAGACTGGATTGTCTCTTTAAAGAGCCTTCACTCACTTTTTGCATCTGCCTGCAAGTTATGGGTACTGCTGGCACCCTTGCTCACTTCCTGAGTTTCAGGAATTGGCGAGGGTGACTCTAAACACTACGTTTCAGTTGTTATCTTTGCTTGCTCAAGTTTTTGGTCAGTTTTGTGTGAGATAAAACTAGGCCATGGTAACCCAATTGACTACTGATTTCAGTAGCTTCAAATTATGACTTAGTTATAAACAATTCAATTTCTTAGTACTCGTGGTGTGCTGGATCTGTTGTTTTCAAGATAGGGTCTCAATACGTAGACAGATTGGCCTTTTAACTCAGATCTCTACCTCCAGTGCATTGCTGTTTTTTAATGGAATTGTTATTTTGAGTAAATGGCTAAGTACCCGGGTTGATGGCCTCCAGAGTTTGCCAGTGTAGGTTATAGTTGTATCTGAGGTCTAGACTGCCTGTCAGTTTTAATTGTCATCAGTATAACCAAATAGACTATTTGATCCCTGTCTCTTTAACTTGATGGTCTGATAGCTGGTGTTTGGGACATGTCAGTAAGCCAGTGCGGCTGAGGCTGATCTGCGAGGAGTTTGAGGACTTCTGGTCCAGTGGTTCTCAACCATTTTGGGAATTGAACGACGCTTTTCTTTTCTTTTTTTTTCTTTTTTTTTTTTTTTAAGGGGGTCGTTTGGAGATGGTTTCTCTGTAATGGCTCTGGCTGTCTGTGAATTCTCCTTGTAGATCAGGCTAGCCTTGAACTCAAAGAAATCCTGCCTCTGCCTCCCTGCTGCTAGGATTAAAGATGTGGGTTACCACACCCAGTTGGTAAACATTTACTTACAGTAGCAAAATTAGTTATGAAGTAGCAACAAAAATGATTTAACATTAGGCATCACTATAACATGAGGAACTGTATTAAAGGGTCACAGCATTAGAAAGGTTGAGAAACACTCCCATGGAGTAAAACACATGATCAGTGGTAGTGGTTGAGTTGGTGAGGTTTTCCTGTTCTGAAGGTTTTTGTTTCACAATATTGCTTCTCAATATCCAGACCTTAACACTACTGCTTCTGAGGTCTTTGAAAGATGAAGAGTTGGCAAGGCTAGTTTTCAGTCATTTGTTGTTGCAGTGAGAACCCACTCCCAGTGTGCTTTTGAATTGGAGAGTAGCTATCCTGCTTTGTTTTTTCTGATTTTGGGAAACTTTAGTCATGCTCATGTTTCTGGCCAATTGCTTAGCCAATAGGAGGAGGTAGGTGCAGGTAGAGTGGTATGTGGTGTAGTGCTTACTGCTATTGTGTAGGTCATTCTCTCTGAACTTCACTTTCCCTATACCAGAGAATGCCTGTTGGCCTCAAGTAAGGTTTACCCTTGCTGTGGGTAAGGTGTTAGAGACTGGAGAGGATAGAACCTGGCCTTCATCTCCCTGCTTGTGCTTGGTTAAGAGAGGGCTGTGCTGCTTCCTTCTCTGGGGACTTTTTCACAGCTGGAATATAGAAATGGGGGCAGACAGGAAGATGGAGTCAAGGAAGGATAGGGTGAGAATGAGTCTTATCTTTAGGGAGATATGTACAGCCTGGAGGTGTTGGAAGGCGTTTGCCAAGTTCCATCATTCATACTTTGGTGTGTGACTGCTAATCCTTTGTTTGTTTCGAGACAGGGTTTCTCTGTTTTGGTGCCTGTCCTGGATCTCACTCTGTAGACCAGGCTGGCCTTGAACGCACAGAGATCCGCCTGGCTCTGCCTCCCGAGTGCTGGAATTAAAGACGTGCACCACCACCACCCTGTGTGACTGCTAATTCTTACATGGTTGTCCTGTGTGGGCATCCTGGGTTCTTAGAGGAAGGGGTAATCAGAGCTGCATAGGGCAGTATAAGCAGTGGGAGCCTTTCTGCAGCTGTGCTCTCTGTTCCGCTTGAGGATGTGTAGTCAGCGATTAAGGTGGAGCTCTTTCTGGAGGATACTTGTCACTGTGTCCCAGTAGCGGAGATGGACTAGTTGTGGGAACACTGCTTGCCTGCTATCACCCTCCCTCAGGGTGGGAGTGTGGAGGGGCAGGCAAGGTTGGGTACTTGTTACTTAGATGTACTGTATTCCAGTTTTCAATTTATAGGTTTATTGTTGGCCAGCTCTACTTAAAGATAGGTTTTTGTGTGTACACATGTGTGTACATATGTGTGTGTGCTTGGCAAGCTACTGATGAGCTTGCAACCCTCTTGAGCTATAAAAATGAAATGAAATTTTGATTGTAATTTTACTCAGTCTCAGTTCTGTATGAGATAATTTTTTTTTTCTCGGGCAGTTCTCCAGGCACTACCATGTGACCTTAAGTCACTTGGCCTTACTTGACATGGGTCATTCTTGTAGGCAGGAGGGTATAGTCTTGCTTGGGTATAGATGTACATACATGTGTGGATGGTGTTTCCAGGGCAGGATCACCCCGTGTTGCTCTACCTGTCCTAGAATTCAGTTTTTTGTTCCAGCCTCTTGAGTACCAACCAGCGTTGTAGGTGTGTGCTGCCATACCCTGCTCAGTGTTTGAATGGCATTTATAGAAAAAAGTGTGGAGAAGAATAGGTGCCTGTAATATAGGTGATTGGTTTTGAATCATTGACTCTCCAGCAGTTATGAAAGCCATCTTGTTTTAGATTTTTGGTAAAGTGTAAAGAATTTAATCTTTGGTTTTCTTTTACAGTGTGGGGTGATAAGCCCTAGATTTGATGTGCAACTCAAAGACCTAGAAAAATGGCAGAACAATCTGCTCCCATCCCGTCAGTTTGGGTAAGTTGGCTTTCTACAATTAAAGATTAATGCTCTGAGCCGGGCGGTGGTGGCGCACGCCTTTAATCCCAGCACTCGGGAGGCAGAGCCAGAGCCAGGTGGATCTCTGTGAGTTCAAGGCCAGCCTAGGCTACCAAGTGAGTTCCAGGAAAAGGCGCAAAGCTATACAGAGAAACCCTGTCTCGAAAAACCAAAAAGAAAAAAAAAAAAGATTAATGCTCTGAAATGTTGGGATATGGCTGGACTTGAACTCAGGTTTCTTTATTTATATAGCAGTGGCTGTCTTTGCCTAACTAGCTTGACTTAAATACTTAAGTTCTCTAGCATGTGGGTCTGGGGATGAACCTCAGATTATCAGGTATGACAGCAAGCACCTTTACCCTCCAGGCCATTTCACTGCCCCAATGCCTTTTATTTATTTACTTTAGGTAGGGCCTCACTGATCTGGAACTCAGATTGCCCATTTCTTCTTCCAAAGTGTTGGGATTTAAGGGTCTGTGCAACCATGCCCAGCCTTGTCTTTGTTTTCTGTCAGGGCAGAGTGTGTAGCTGGGGTCTCAAGATTTCATCTTTTGTTCCAGGATTCGTTCCTGTGCACTGCCCCCAGGCACCAGCTTTCCTAGGCAGCATCAGTCTTTGTCTCCCAGGAAAGCAGGCTTGAGCATTGCTGAAGGTGGTGGTGAGCAGAGAAGGCATGTCTGGAATGTTTACACTCAACCAGTGTGTTTCTTTTTCCTCCGTAGCTTCATTGTACTGACAACCTCAGCTGGTATCATGGACCATGAAGAAGCAAGACGAAAACACACAGGAGGAAAAATCCTGGGATTCTTTTTCTAGAGATGTAAAACACATTAATAAAAAGCCTCCATGGACTATGCTCAGGGTCAGTCTTTTTGAACTTTTCCATCAGAATAGCAAATGTCCAGCAGTGTTGGTTGTGCTGACTGGTACACTTCTCTTGAATCATGCCCTCACTCAAGTCCTGGCTGGTGTTTGTCCAGTCAGGATGATTGCCTCTGGGTTGTGGTCCAGTGGTGCTCAGCTATGAGGCTTGATATAAATAATGAAGCATGTCATCTTGTGTGTGGCCATAAGGAGGTCCCTTGTGGCACCACTTTCAGCAAACTTGGGTTGCTTGCCAGTAACACCTACATAAAATGGTTAATGACAGTGTGGTGCTTTGAGTGTCCAGGGTGGACCCAGTCTGGTTTATTTGCCAATGGGAGGCATGGGACTTCCACCTGGGTCTCTGCCTACAGCCCCTTTTCATCCCCAGACTTGGCAAGCCTGTCTATGTTATCTCTGTCTCAGAGGGTAGTATCATAGTTGAACCCTGAAAAATGTCATTTCTTGGGTATTAAGACTCAGTCTGAAAGATAATTAAAAAAGCCAGCTGGAGGTGTTGCACACTACCAAGCATACCCTGGGTTCTGAACCCTATAGCTGAAAAACAGCATAAAGATTTGACAAGGATGGTAAGAGAAAGCCTGTGGTTGGGTTCCCAGAAAAATTCCTGAGATCCATCTGCCTCTGTCTCCCAGATTTAAAGGCAAGTGCCACCATGCCTAGGCAGAGTGGTTAGCTCTGTTAATAAGGAAAATATCTATCAAATGAAAGGTTGGTTTGGCTCCTGTTTTCACTGAGAACATGTGTCTGGTGGGTGGACACCTTCAGGTGTGGATTGTATGGTGGAACAAAGCTGCACATCTCAGAAGCAAAGGAGAGCGGAGGCGATGGTTCCAATGTCCCAGAGCAGTCCCCTAGTGACTTGTCTTCTTGCTAAGTTTAACCCCTGCAGCTTTCATCACCTCAGAGGCTGTGAACTGTGGGCTTAGGGGACATTGGTATTCATAGCTGTAACATTTAAAATAGGTGTGAAATTCTGGTCCTTTGGAATGAGCACTCAGTAGTACCACCACCTGCCTAGTAGAGCACTCTAGTTCTGAACAGAAGTCCCTTGGTTTGGAGAGCTTTGAACCTGCTTAAGTTGAGAAAGTGCTGTTGGGTCCCTGCCATGCTGAGGACTGTTGTCCTCACCAGGATTGCATATACCTTGAACATTTCCTCACATCAGCTGGAAAGAGTTGAAAAGATCTATGTGTGTCTGGTTACCACTTGTTAACTGACAAAAATGCCTGACTGAAAGTATTTACTATGGTCCACAGTTTTAGAGATGCAGGATCTCGAGCTATGCCTTCCCCCTTTTTGTGCACTCCTGCCTTGATTGGCTGGGTCAGCTGCCCAACCACTTAATACTGCCATCCTCTTAAGAGTTCTCAGGAGGTGATCCCAAGGGGAGGAGGAGCTTGGGAAAGTGGACCCCGAAGTCCTCCAGCTCAGTCTGGCAATTGGTCGGTTAGAAAAATCCAGGGTCAGTGGATGGTGGTGAGGAATCTGATTCAGGTTTTGACTTACTGGCTCTGGGTAAATGGCAGTTCCCATTACTTGATGCTGTCTTTCTCCTTGGGGATCAAATTAGCTTCCTATTCAATTGTTAAGCAAATTTCATAGTCACATAATCCTCTTATCTTTACAAGTGGGATTTTCCTTGGTTTCGATTTCAGAGTCCTTGATCCCTCTCATGTTTTCTGTCCCTACTGCCCTTGTATGGGAAGTTCAACTTGATCATTTCTCATTTATAGATTACCAGTCTACACTAGCTCAGGGGCCTTGACCTTGCCAGCTTCAGATATATCGATTCTATCCCCCTCATGGTCTTCCTCCCTGCCCCCATTTTTGTCACCTGAGACAATGTTAGGGTCTTTGTGGGCTAGATCAAGCTGAGGCTGGTCTCAGACCTCTGGTTTTTCCAGATAGGGTTTCTCTGTGTAGCCCTGGCTCTCCGGGATCCTGCTCTGTAGACTAGTTTGGCCTCTTTTTCAAAGATCTGCCTGCCTCTGCCTCCTGAGTGCCAAGATTCAAGGCATGTGCTGCCACTGCCTTGCTACAGGTGAAGTCTTAATACCCACCAGCCCAGCCATAGGGGAAACCATTTACCCCTTCATCAGTCCATTGATTTAGGGCATAGTCACCCAGGCCATATCTATCTATCTATCTATCGATATATCGATAGATAGATATATAGATATCTATATATCTTTATATGACCAAAAGCCAAAAGCTTGGGCTTTTGGTCAGTGAAAACAAAAGTCTGAAGGGACCGAAAGAGTATGAGCCCAGTATTTGACCTGAATGGTCAGGATGAAAAGAACACACTTCCAAAATTCTATCCTTTGGGTAGACCTGAAGCTGTTGAAGGGTTGTGTCTGGGAAGGCCAAAGAGTTGAGTTAAGTTCATTTTCTTTCTGATTAGTCTATTGTCTCATCAAACTGTAGGCTGCTAGAGGGCAAGTTGGCTAGCTTTTTAAATTTTTTTTTTGGTTTTTCAAGACGGTTTCTCCATATAGTCTTGGCTGTCCTGAAACTCTTTGGACCAGGCAGAACTCGGATCCACCTGCCTCTGCCTCCTGTGTGCTGTGCTGGGATTAAAGGAAGGCGTGCACCACCACTGTCTGGCATTGCCTATCCATCTACCCACCTCTCAATCCAAAAATTTTAAGCATGTGTTACCTGCTCATCTGGCCTTGAATATTATATTCTCTGGTTCCCAAGGGTCCCAGTGTAGTGCCTACCCATTTTATCCCTAGGAAGACCTAAAAAAGGAGGCCATGCAAACTACTGGATGAACTATCCTTGATTCCTTCCTGGTCAAAGGGTAAAAGTAGTCAGTGGAAATTTAAAGTTTGCCTGTCTCGCCATCTTTCTTACCTTCCTCTAAGGATGGTACCTCTCCCAGCAACATCTAGCATTCCTTCTTGGTTTACCTTAGAAATCTTTGGCTTAATTGAACAAGATGGGAGAACTCAAGCTACCTTGGGTTATGCAGTTTATTCCTACGCTGTTGGTGAAGGATGTCCCAGAGACTGAGAACCCTGGTGTCAAACCCACAGGTTGACTTTTTTTTTTTTTTCCTGTCCTTCCTCCCTCCCTCCTTCCCTCTTCCTCAGGTCCTCAGCATTGCATAGCAAGCACTCTGATCCTCTGCCATCTCCCCAGTCCCACTTAAACTTTTTTTGAGATCTATTTTACTTGTATGTCCGTACACCACATTGTGTGCAGTGCTCAAGGAGGCCAGAAGGTGTTGGATCCCCTTGAAACTAGAGCTACAGTTTTTTAGCCCCATGTGGGTACTGGGAATCAAATCCTCATCCTCGAAGAATAGCCAGTACCTTTATCTCTCTAGCCCCATCCTACTTTTTCTTTTTAAAGCTGAATCTTGGTTATGTGGCTTAGTCCCAGCCTTAACCACATAATCCCATGGTCCCAGCCTCCTGAGGTGCTGGTATTGCATAGTTTCCACTACTGATGCAGCATGACACTGCAGGGGATTCTCACCACTTTTAATACAAAACAAGCTTTGCTTTAGATTGATTTTGCCCATGCTAGGCTAACCTAATAAGTGTTCTCAGAACGATTAAGGTAGGCCAGGGTGAGTAGTGGCCAACCTTCGTTTATGATAATAAACTCTTTACTAATTGTGTGCATGTTCAAGCATTTGAGTAGTGATCACAGAGAGCAGCTTGTGGGAATTGGTTCTCTCCTTTGACTGTGTGGGTCCCCGGTTCAAGACCTCTACAAAAAACGAGGTGGATTTTTCCATTGGTCCCTCATATCCCTGGTTGGGTTTTGCACATGGCAGCCTCACTGGCCCCCTCTCCCCCAGCCTTTCTCTGCTCTTAGGTTGGGTATCCACTCCTGTCCAATAGGACATGAGGACAAGAGCTGCAGTCAGTATTTAGGGCCAGAAGCGGAGAGATGAATGGAGTCAGCAGAAATCTGAGTGACCAGGAGCTATGAGTCAGCAGAAATGAGAGGCGAGTGGAGATGGCAAAGGTGATGAGTCACTATCATGGTGATTGTGTGTGTGTGTGGGGGTGCTCTTAGTCTCATTAATAAAGCTGGAGCAGTGACTAGGCAGTAAAGAGCACTTGTTGCTCTTTCCGAGGGGAGATTCATGTTCAGTTCCCCACACATACATCAGGTGGCTCACAACCACCATACTTAGCTCCAGAGAGAGAGAAGAGCAGGCATATATGCAGGCAGAACACTGTATACATAATAAATCTTTAAAAAAAATGTGAAAAAATTATTGTATATGGATGCTTTGCCTGCACACCAGAGGAGGGCATCCTGTTATATTGTGAGCTGCTTCTGGGTGCTGGGAATTGAACTCAGGACCCCTGCAAGGACAGCCAGTGTTCTTAACCTCTGAGCTATCTCTGCAGCCCCCCTTTTTTTCTTTAATTGGCATGTGTGTATATATTCCTAAATCTATAAATACAACCTGCTAAATCTGCATAATGTTACTTGTATGTTTATGATTTTAGGGACTTCACGTGTAAGTATGTACAATTTTTTTTAAAGCCTTTAGAAACAGACTTCAAAGGAAACAGGAGGACAATTTTATTAGAATTTAAGAGAAAAACACTGCTGTAAATCTCAGCAGCTGCCAGGCAAGGGAAAAGAAGAGAGAAAGCCAAGCTGTTTGAGTTAGGCTAGCATGTTAAGACAAACACCCACGTGGAGAGAGAAGAAATACCGAGAGAGCCTGGAAAAGCATGCTTAGCCGGTATTTGGAAAAAGGGATAAAGAGAAGAAAAGTTATGCTTTTCTGAGTCCTAACTCAGAAAAATGGGCAGGCTGCACGACAGAGGCTCACAGTGCAGCCTCATCCACCCCAAGGAGAGGCTTTTGGGAAGGGAAAGCATGTTAGCTCGTTAAGGGGATAATTATTCCCCCTATCTCCTTAGGTGAATCAGCCTTCCTGAAAGGTGGTTGACAGGCCCAACTGCATTAGCTCATCTATTCTGGGTAGCTTGGA